ATCCACTAAGTACAAATTCGTCTGTAAAATATGGAATCTACATCATATCCCTCAAGACGGGAAAACAGTCCTTAGTTTTTCACTGTTGATGATAATTTGTACAATGTTGGCGTCTCCAACTATTGATCTCGCCAAGAATTCCCATTCTATCACGATCATTAACACAACGGCATTTGAGTAAATAGACGGCCTGTGGAGGTAGATGCATATAGTAATGTAATATACAGTAAATATACAAATGGAAACAAATATACGCTTTTGCCTACGGATTTACTACATTTCTATACCACCTGTGTGTACAAGCAAGCGCTTAGTAAATTGATATTTGCAGTTTTAGTAAGTCAAACAGGACATTAGAGCAATGGGGAATGAATGGGATAGCGGTGTGGGAAAACCCAGTGTATACAAAACGATTTAGTGTGTTTTCAACAATTATATGTATAAAAATATATGCAAACAAACCCTGTAACGGAATTCGCACATGTAAGACATGATGATAGAAACATTTGTGTACCACAGGAGTTGGGAACGTCCTGTCTACAGACCGAATCACCATCATCATGTAGCAGGTCCTTTGCAGAACGTCGCTCTCATCACGGTCTGCCTGAAAGAAATTCGGTCTCTCGCCAGCTCTTCCGCCTCATGCACTTTCATACTCAAGAAGTCACTATTATCCTGTGCCCATCTTCGTGTTGGTCTGCCACTGCCCCTTCCTCCTGGTTCCATGTCTTCTGCTATTATTTTTCCCAATCCGTCGTGGCGCTTGATATGATCAAAATATTTTAGCTTCCGACAGGATGCTGTTCATAAGCCAATCTTCCTTGATGTTCAGATCTTTCAAAGTGTCAGTATTTCTCCTCTTCTTTGTCCAAGATATTCTGAGAATCTTTCTGTAGCATTTCAGCTCAAAGGCCCCTATTTTCTTTCTTAAGTACAGATAAAATACAGCTTTGAAAACCATTAGGTCTTGCCATACCAAATCAAAAGCAAATATTAGTTTGAACAAAGATATGAAATTAATTTTAAAGTTGATAATTTGTAATAGAAGAGCAGTAAGAACGTCGGGATGTTCTCTTTCTATGTTCGCGTTCATCATCATCACTTTTCTTTATGCCCAGTGGCACTCGAGACTTCAGGGAGGTGGTTCTATGTTTTCCTGTCCTGTGCAATCTTCAGTGCAGTTTTCCATGTCAGAGATGCAGCACTTAGTTCGCTTTCCATCGTTCATCTCCATGTTGTTTTTGGACGCCCTTTCTTTCTCTTTCCCTCTGGTGTCCAAGTGAGAGCTATTTTGGCAGGTATTTTAGGATTCATTCTCATGAGGTGACCAAGCTATTTCCATCTTCTCTTGGTTATCATACAGTCTAGAGCATCAGTTCTCAAACCTTTTCGCCGCGGCACCCTTATCGGGGACGTTTTTTTGGGCGACATACCTACCTTTAAAGCGGTTTGAATACTTGGGGGGAAAAACAGTGCACATTTAATGTTCAGTTGTCTTTAAAGAGGTGAATGAAACTGGATGCATTTTTCATTACTTAACTTCATTTTTTTGGGAAGTTTAGTTAATTTTACCCTTAAATCACTTGACTCAAAAAGTTTGCTCCTTTATCTGCTTTTTTTTTTGGTTTGTTTTTTTGTAAGCGAACGTTGAGAATGCACTGCAGCCTTAGCGTTGTTTTCTGAATACAACCGCATTCAGATCTCTTTTTGGCTTTCTTCACGAAATTTCTCTTAAACTGTTGTCTTCGCTGATCTCAAGCAGATTTTGAGAAATTCTTGATTATTGCCGCGGCACCCCGATCATACGCTGGCGACACCCAGTTTGAGACTCGCTGATCTAGGGATTGTTTTGTAACTTGAAGTAGTTTAGTGTTTGAGATTGTACCGACGGAAGGTTCTAGTTGATGTCCACCTTTAGACTTTAATCTTTTTTCCTGAAACTGAGTATAGTGAGCACATGCATTTGAAGGATCTGTCATGTTTGCATGCAGACTGATGGTTCTTTACCTCTCAGGTAGATTCACGTCGACTCGGAAGCCTATAGTTGGTTGACTCTTACTACATGCTTAATGGGAAGACTTTGTCTTTTATAGACCAATCGGCACTCCGGGGGTGATGTCAATGTCACGACGGCTGCCTTTACTTCCCTATACTTTCACCTGGGTCCCATTTAATATCAGATTGGAGGTCAATGTTGAGACCTGAACCCACGACTTTCACATTCGCAGGCGAGCATCTAGCCGTTATACAATACAAGGAAGAAATAACGAAGTCAGTCCCACAAAGAGAGTGACTCCCCTTCCTATTGATGTCTCGTTGTGACTCAGGGCGTCTTCTATGTTGCAGGGGTGTCAGGTATTCCTTATTGTCAACGCTTTAAAATCTCTTTCTTTCCTCGTCTTGTCACCGCTGACTTGCGTGATTATTTACATGTTTGCTACCTGCGAGACGCTTCCTGAGTACAGAAACTGTTGTGTTTTTTAATGCCCACCTGTTTTATCGGTGAGTTCTCTATCTCGGGGGGAAGCAACTACCAACAAATATAGAAATAGAAAAACATCCAAGTGCCGATATTCACAAATAGTCGCGCCTGCGGCGCTTCTCACTGCAGTACTTCTTACTTTTACACAGGTACCTCAAATAGCCTCACGACAAAACAATCCCCTACAAACATTATATATGCCTACCGAACGCCGAAGCAAACACCCATGCAACATAGAAGACGCCCTGTGTCACAACGAGGCATTATGAGAAGGGAAGTCACTCTATTTGTGAGCAAGATTTTGTTACTTGTGAAATGTTATATATATCTCTTTGAGTCCCACGGGGTTTAGCATCACAGGCCCAGGAGTTAGTAAAGAAAATAATAAAATCGGCGCATCATGCGTTCATTGGGCTTCTAGGTAGGAACCTATGAACGTAGGATGCGTTCCTTGGGATTCAAAAAGTAAATATATATATATATATATATATATATATATATATATATATATATATATATATATATATATATATATATAGTGTAAGTACAAAAAGTCGGCTCTGTGGCTAAGTCGATGCGAACGCTTCGTAATGCCGGGATGCCGGGTTCGATCCCAGCTGCGGGCCATGCGCCTTGCGTTGGTTTCAACAGTGGTATCAAGAGAGTCGACCGTCCAAAAGCAATGGCAAACTACTGGACGTAAATTTGCCTAGAAAAACCCCACAGCAGCCAGAGGCTGTTGGGGGTTGGTTCTGCAACGTCCTGTAAAGGATACGCAACTAACCTAAGTACAAAAAAGTATTAGCACAGTGGAAATTGCAATAATTCCATATTTTGATATCCTGAGAAGCAGACATGTTCTTAAAAGAATGATGCAGTCAGGAATGACCAACGGATCTAACCGACGCTCAACACCAAGTGGAAGGGCGAGACGGACATACAGTCAGACCACTACTGGTACCACAGGTACTGGGACTCTGCGCTGACTGCTAAAGGTGGGGACGGAGCGCTTATGGGACTATCCTGAGTGCTATGTTGCCGTTTCTTAACTCGAAACTCAAAAGCCATGTCTCACCTAAAATTGCCATGAAAGAGGCTTGCATGGACCACATATACTTCTCAGAGTAGTCAACTAATGCACCACATATACTTCTCAGAGTAGTCAAATAATGGACCACATATACTTCTCAGAGTAGTCAAGTAATGGACCACATATACTTCTCAGAGTAGTCAAGTAATGGACCACGTATACTTCTCAGAGTAGTCGAGTAATGGACCACATATACTTCTCAAAGTAGTCAAATAATAGACCACATATACGTCTCAGAGTAGTCAAGTAATGGACCACATATACTTCTCAGAGTAGTCGAGTAATGGACCACATATACTTCTCAAAGTAAAATAATGGACCACATATACTTCTCAAAGTAGTCAAATAATGGACCACATATACTTCTCAAAGTAGTCAAATAATGGACCACATATATTTGTCAAAGTAGTAAAGTAATGGACCACATATGCTTCTGAAAGTAGTCAAGTAATGGACCTTTCCACCAAGACACGTATCGAGCATTTGACGTAAACTCTGGTGTGAAGTTATAATTGTTCGTCTACTTCAAGACTCTGTTGTTGTTCTAGAACTTTAGTTTTGCATGCACATCTGCTATATAATGGTCTGGTTTATTTGTATGCAGACTGTTAGTTTCTAGCTTCAGGCAGATGGGCTCCGACTATGCACACACACACACACACACACACACACACACACACACACACACTAAATCCACCACAATTAGTGGCTTTTTACGACATAATCGTTAGGGAGGAAGTGGGTTTATTCGACCCACCCCACCCCACCAAGTGGGACTCTGCGACCCACACCAGGAAGTTAAGAGTAGTAAAGGTACTTTCTAAAAAGTCACCTGTTTGGCATTCCATGATAGACTTATTTGTTATAAGCACAGATTACACCCGCCACCTTTACTTCCCATCCGATTTCCAGATACCCACGGAACGTTTAGTCGACCTGAAAACGAAGCGTCTGCTAGGTGAGGATTCGAACCTGAGATCTTCCTGCCGGCAGGTGAACATCTAGTAATTTGGCTACTATACGCACCCTTCACAGTGAAAGGGCTATTGCCCACGTTTTCAGTCGTATTGGGCATATAGGGCTAGACCTATTTTTATGGAACAACAGGTACTCGGTGATGTGGTCGACCTCACGCCGGCCGCCATTACTTCCCAGGATTCACCTGGCACTTATCTAAGGCTGGGGCTATCTTGGAACCAGGGTCATTTTTGAAAAATGGTAGACCCCGTTCGAATTCGAACCCACCACCTTTAGATCCACAGGCATGAGTCTAGCCGCAACACCACTTGAAAGTAGCATTAATATATACATTTATCGAAATGTGCAAAATGACAGTTTTTCATGACACATTTTCGCAATAAGAGAATCATAAATAATAAAAACATAAAGATATTTAACATCGTGGGCAATGCATTGTGTCTTGTCCCCTCACAGCGATATAAAAATGTCCATGCCGACAATATTTACAGCAAAATTATAAAGAAGTCTTGCATACCAGTGGGCTCCGTTCTGGCGATTCTGAGATATTGTTTCATTTTCTGGCACAAAATTAACACAGGGAGGATGTAACATACCATCCAAGAAAACAGTAACACCGTGGAGCCAATCACTGAGAATTCTCTGTGTCATGTGATATGCTCTTAAAGGCGCGAATGATGCATGCGCCAGCTGAACATCTTTCAGAAACGCATAACAAGATGTAATGATTCCGTCGACCACAATAGTCCCGCTTACTGTCAAAGGGGCATATACACCTTTCAAAGGACGTACCTGGATTGACACAATCCGCTCAGGTGTAAAAACAGCCAAAGACGTAGTGTCTGTTTTGAATCTATTTCTTGTGTCTGGAAAATTTTCAGAAGATGTCAAGCTAGAAGGATGATGTCTTTGAGGTATGTTTTCTGTTGAGGTTGAAGACTCGTAATTTGCGAAAAGGACGTACTGGCCGATTGAAACATCTTCAGCGAAGACAAGACGAGGTAGATCAGAACCGATATGAGGTCTAGTAGAAGCAGATGCGTTCCCCAAGTCTGACGTCGTGTTGGGAGACATAACATGAATTAGATGCTTCCCAGTCAGAGTTACACTATGCCCAGTTTCTGTGGTCAGTGTGTAGAAGTTGGCCACCTGGTCATGATTGTAATCCAAAAATGCAATCACATCGCTGAACTCAAGAAGGCCACTTTCTCCCAATGACAGAATCTGGTCGCCGATTTGGATTTCCGACAACTGCTTTGTTTGGCCTGAAAGGGTGAGTACTTGGCTTGACGATGAGAAGCAGCCACCGAAGTTGATAGCAACGCTTGAATCTGCAGGAAGAGAAAACAAGATGTTAAATAAATCAAAGGGGAATCTTATTACAAAACCTGAAAGTGAAATTACCAAGCTCGTGCCACACGAATATGTTCCGTGAGTAAATTAAATAATGAATATCTAAACAGCGTGAACACGGACCTCTTGTTACAACGTTTTCTTTTGTTGCTTCTTATAAACGATTTAAGCGAGGCATAAATGTTAAATTTAGAAAACTGTGTCCATAACCCCTAATCTAGGGTTGCCATATTTTGATGTTCTGTAATTAAGACAAATCCATATTTCGTTCTTTTTAAATAATGACAGTTCTAACATTTCTGTCATTATATTCCATTTATATTGAGCTCTAGGTATAGTTTCTGATGATCTGATAATTTTTTAATACGTCTTTATTTTGCACCAAATGTCCATAAAATTGCTTGCATGTGAAATGTTCAAAATTTAATTTTACGAGTTCTTCATTTGGGTTCCGGAGCCCCATGTGAGTTTCGGGGCACCCTGTGGGGGGAGGGGGGGGGGGAGTACAGACCCACTGGCACCTCAACAAGGATGTCATGAGTCGACTAACTGGGATCTTCCTTTGAAGTCGGAGCGTATCTGTCCCTGCGGCAAGGAACAACCAACTGTACACAAGTAAGCCAGTGGAACGTAAGCACACGCAAATCTCAGACCCGGAAACAAAACCAAAATCTAAATGGACGAACAATCAGGACTTTCGGTCGGAGCTTACAACTGGTCCACAAAGGAGAACGAAAAAGAAAGGAGAAATTTAACAAGTGAAATAGACTTGACTGAAACGAAATCTGTCTCGAGTGCCAGGTAAGAAAATTTAATTTTACGTAGTGACCGCGTAACTACCACATGATGTCGTTGACAAAGTGTTAATTTTGTCTTGGCTTGTAAAATTGCGGACTAGTCTGCGAAGTCCAAAACTGTTTGTGGACGGTCAAATATACTCGTGAATTCAGGACGTGTCCACAGAAATGAGCACGTGTGGCAGCCCTCCACTAATCCCTATGCGACTGCTTACAGACGATTGCTATGACAAAACAAAAAAGAAAAAACCATGCAACAAATATGGGATGGAATAGAAGAGCTGTAGAATTAATAGAGACATTTTTCTTCTTTTGTCGTTTCACTGATATCAGGTTGTAGCCCAGTGTCGTGGTTTTGTCGTCTCACTGATACCAGGTTGTAGCCCAGTGTCGCGGTTTTGTCGTCTCATTGTTACCAGGTTGTAGCCCAGTGTCGTGGTTTTGTCGTCTCACTGATACCAGGTTGTAGCCCAGTGTCGCGGTTTTGTCGTCTCACTGATACCAGGTTTTAGCCAATTGTCGTGGATTTGTCGTCTCTGTGATACCAGTTTTTAGCCCATTGTCGTGGTTTTGTCGTCTCACTGATATCCAGTTGTAGCCAAGTGCCGTGGTTTTGTTGTCTCACTGATACCAGGTTGTAGCCTTGTGTCGTGGTTTTGTCGTCACACTGATACCCGGTTGTAGCCCAGTGTCGTGTTTTTGTCGTTTCACTGATTCCAGGTTGTAGCCCAGTGTCGTGGTTTTGTTGTCTCAATGATACCAATTTGTAGCCCAGTGCTGTGATTTTGTCGGCTCAATGATAACAGGTTGTTGTTCAGTGTCGCGGTTTTGTCGTTTCATTGATACCAGGTTTTAGCCAATAGTCGTGGTTTTGTCGTCTCAGTGATATCAGGTTTTAGCCTACTGTCGTGGTTTTGTCGTCTCTGTGATACCAGGTTGTAGCCCATTGTCGTGGTTTTGTCGTCTCAGTGATACCAGGTTGTAGCCCAGTGTCGTGGTTTTGTTGTTTCACTGATACCAGGTTGTAGCCCAGTGTTGTGGTTTTGTTGTCTCACAGATACCCGTTTGTAGCCCAGTGTCGTGTTTTTGTTGTTTCACTGATACCAGGTTGTAGCCCAGTGTCGTAGTTATGTCGTCTCAATGATACCAATTTGTAGCCAAGTGCTGTGGTTTTGTCGTCACACTTATACCAATTTGTAGCTCAGTGCTGTGGTTTTGTCGTCTCACTGACACCAGATTGTAGCCCAGTGTCGCGGGTTTGTCGTCTCTGTGATACCAGTTTTTAGCCCATTGTCGTGGTTTTGTCGTCTCACTGATATCCGGTTGAAGCCAAGTGCTGAGGTTTTGTCGTCTCACTGATATCAGGTTGTAGCCCAGTGCCGTGGTTTTATCGTCTCATCGATACCAGGTTGTAGCCCAATGCCGTGGTTTTGTCGTCTCACTGATACCAGGTTTCAGTCTTGCGCTTCTCTGCAGGCTGGGGTGATGGATTTAATTATGTTTTTGCAGGTTTTAGCTAAACCATTTCTACATTTTCGTGGTCTTCCCCTCGCCTTCTTCCCAGACGTTCTGCTGTATAAAAAAATGATTATATGCAGTTTGGTCTAGCAGCAATCTCACTAGATGGCCAAACCATTTCATTCTCTTTCTGTCAATATAATCCAGACATGGTATTTTTTCATTTGTCTCTCGAATACTGGTATTCGTAACCCTGCCTCTTCTTGTGTTGTTAGTGACCTTACGGAGACAGGGCATTTTACATGTATTTTTTTTTTAAAACTGGTGTAGTACCTTATTCATTGTCCATCATTTGAACTGACAGCACAGAATTGTGTAGTAGTAAACTAATTGAGATAAATACAGTTTAAAATGAAGAAATCAGAAGATGACTAAGACGGAAATTAATTATACTGTATAAATGTGCTGAAGTTGACAGCTGTGTGGATATGTTACACGGAGGACCATCACATTGTATCATCATCCTCATCAAAAACTACTTCTGGCGTTAAGTGTCATGGGGAAGGAACAAACTTTATTTTCGAAGGGGTTCTTTCTTTCTTTCTTTCTTTCTTTCTTTCTTTCTTTCTTTCTTTCTTTCTTTCTTTCTTTCTTTCTTTCTTTCTTTCTTTCTTTCTTTCTTTCTTTCTTTCTTTCTTTCTTTCTTTCTTTCTTTCTTTCTTTCTTTCTTTCTTTCTTTCTTTCTTTCTTTCTTTCTTTCTTTCTTTCTTTCTTTCTTTCTTTCTTTCTTTCTTTCTTTCTTTCTTTCTTTCTCTTTCTTTCTTTCTTTCTTTCTTTCTTTCTTTCTTTCTTTTCTTTCTTTCTTTTCTTTCTTTCTTTCTTTCTTTCTTTCTTTCTTTCTTTCTTTCTTTCTTTCTTCTTTCTTTCTTTCTTTCTTTCTTCTTTCTTTCTTTCTTTCTTTCTTTCTTTCTTTCTTTCTTTCTTTCTTTCTTTCTTTCTTTCTTTCTTTCTTTCTTTTCTTTTTCTTTCTTTCTTTCTTTTCACCCACCCGCCCGCTTACCTGTCTGTCTGTCTGCCTGTCTGCCTGTCTGTCTGCCTGTCTGTCTGTCTGTCTGTCTGTCTGTCTGTCTGTCTGTCTGTCTGTCTGTCTGTCTGTCTGTCTGTCTGTCTGTCTGTCTGTCTGTCTGTCTGTCTGTCTGTCTGTCTGTCTGTCTGTCTGTCTGTCTGTCTGTCTGTCTGTCTGTCTGTCTGTCTGTCTGTCTGTCTGTCTGTCTGTCTGTCTGTCTGTCTGTATTTCCTTTTTCTTAAAACTGTTATGTGTTTGGTTCACTCTTTCTCTGTATGGTCTAGTTAAAACATCATTAACTGCCATTTGCATTTACTGCTTGCACATATTTCTGGATTGTTCCATGACTAATTGTTTGTTCACCAGTTTTTCAAATGGTTTAGTGAGGGACATTTCATTTGATTTTCACTGGCACAAGAACGGATCAAGTATAGGGAAACTCGAATGCTGTTGAATTCTTGACTAAAACTAAGACTAAGTTAAAACAATTTCCTCCACAGTAGGGTTTCGAACAAGTAACTATCGCACCGACAGACTTGCGTTTGGGACTCCCCGCCACGGCCGCTCCCACAGACGCAAATAACATTGCTAAAATGTAGATCTTTCAACTGAGCAACGAGTGTGAAAATTTGAAACTCGTGGTCAAAAATCGTCCACTTTTGACACTGTCTACTTAGGCCCAGACGGGAAAAACCAAGCGATCGTGAAATATTTAGCGGTTCGTGTCCCCACCTGGTGCTTTCTGTTTGTCCTTTCATGATTAGTATTTGAGAAAGAGGAATTCGACCTTTCGCAGAAATGATGTTGGCATGTAGCGCTGCAGAAATCTGCCCGAAAATGGTGGGAGGTTAAACTTGAATGGATAGATTGCCAAGTCAGAGAATATAAAATATGCAGTAAAAAAAAAAAAAAAACGAAGGAGAGAAAATAGAAAATTTAAATGAATCAAGGGGCGAGGAAAAGTTGATTGTGGTGGATAGTACACACGTTCACAGGGGCGCCAGAGAATGGGAGTTTAGACATTTTAGCCCTTACCCTCCCTGCTCCACATTGGGGAGTTGGAGTATAAATGGTTCGAAGTTGGCGTAACACTTCTCCGCCATCCCTGTGAAAAGTTTGCAATGTGGTCAATAGAAGACTTTCTAAAAATTATTTGTTAATTTATGTTATTCTATTTTTATCGATGCCATTTTTAGTTGTCATTTAGCACATAATGGTAACAATAATAATAATAATACTTTTAATGATAATAATATTAATAATTATAATATTATTATTAATAATAATAGCGTAAATTTGAACAGCAGAAGAATGGCGGTTATGGTAATTGCAAAGAAAATGAACCCTCCAGAATGCAGCTTCAAAGTTCATGGTCAAACAGATTAGGGTCTGAGAAAAATGGCACGAGGAGTTACAAGGCGATCTGGCCGACGCTAGACACTCAGGGGAAAGGCGAGACGGATATACAATCTTAGAGTTACTGGTACCATCAGAATTGTAACCCTTCGCTTGCTGTTGAAGATGGGGACGGAGCGCTTATGGGGGGTGTTTCGAGCATTCTGATGTCGATTCTGAATTCAACGTTCAACATTCAACCAGGCTGTACCTTTAAGTGCTTGATTACCCCGGTAACAATAGATGCGAGATGTATTTAAGA